GTTATTGCGTGTTGTTATATTTTGGGGGCCATACGATTAGCGCTAATCGTATGGCCCCCCAAAAACATACGATTTACATAGATGTGCTAAAGTAGTAGTAAATTTTGTAACTGACAATACAGTCTAAGTGTGGTAAACGTCTCTGGATAACCAGCTTGATATTAGTGGTTCTGAGTTAAACCAATTATTCGAACTTGAAATGAGCAGCAATCTCTATGACGAATTACGACCCTAAAAACTATTAAACAACATCTCCATGTGGTCGCAAAACTTCCACTAAGCATTCAAAGTCATGTGACCTAAGTATTTGCACTTTTTGAGTACACTATAGCAAAATGTCCTTCACATCAGTTAGCATGACTACAGTTAAATGTAGATTTAAAAACTACCATTCTACCGTTGCGTGATTTACGTTTTAGCGAAAGCCATTTAGTTCTTTTACTGTATTTAACTTCCCAGAATAAAGGAAGTAAAAACCCACAAAGCCGGAGGCGCTTCCAGAATTTCTTGCGTTTCGCTAAAGGCTTTAAAAGTGGAGCTATTTCTAGTATAGCATATAAGCTCGCGTCTAATAAAGGCCCTCTTGTTGCTCGCGGGATGAAACGACTCAAAGGGAGTATACAGATACTTATTAAGTGGCTTTTGATAGGTAGAAAACTACAGAGTGCTAAAATTAGCATCTTTGTAAAGAAATAAATCGAGAAACGAAATACTACTTTCGTCAATAACATAGTACGTAAGTTTGATACTATCAGTTTTGCTATAGAGACAACTAAGAAACTCTAATAGGATTTCCTTGGGACCCTTCCAAACCAAAAAATGTCTTTTTTAATGTTTTAATGTTTTAATTTTTTTTTTTAAACTTTTTAAAATATTTTGGGGGCCATACGGTTAGCGCTAATCGTATGGGCCCCAAAATATAACAACACGCAATAACATGTGCATTAAGGCATTTATTGTAACGTCCGTTTACAGCATGTTTCAGCAGTTATTCACTTCCATGGGAGGTTAAAATTAGGCACGCTTAAATCATTCACTGAAGAAGTCTCAGACAGAGACGAAACGCATCGGAAATAAACGAAAAAGCTTACAACTACAAGAAGTCTTCCTTTGTGCTGCTCACTAGTCTTCGTTAAAAAATTAAAAAAATTTTTAAAAAAAATTAAAAAATTTCAATAACCTTCCAAGCAGATGGGCTTAGAGGGTACATCGTGGAGCGTAGAGCGTAGATCGAAGAGAGTAGCTGGTAGAATGTAGAGAGTAGAGCGTAGATGGGCGTAGAGGGTAGATGGTAGATGGTAGATCGTAGTGCGTAGATCGAAGAGAGTAGCTGGTAGAACGTAGAGCGTAGATGGACTTAAAGGGTAGATTGTANATGGGAGGTTAAAATTAGGCACGCTTAAATCATTCCCTGAAGAAGTCTCAGACAGAGACGAAACGCATCGGAAATAAACGAAAAAGCTTACAACTACAAGAAGTCTTCCTTTGTGCTGCTTACCAGTCGTTAAAGAATTAAAAAAAAATTAAAAACTTCCAATCACCTGTCAAGCAGATGGGCTTAGACGGTAGATCGTAGAGCATAGAGCGTAGATTGAAGAGGGTAGCTGGTGGAACGTAAAGAGTAGAATGTAGATGGTAGAACATATAGCGTTGAGCATAGAACGTAGAGATTTAACTCAATACAGAATTGTACTTTAAAAAGATTATTGAAAAACTGTAAACCGTAGTAACACTAAACATTCTCCGTGCGCTTTAATATTTGCTACAATAACTTTAAGCCTCTTCGCCCGTACATAGAACCATAGAGCGTAGAGCGTAGATGGTAGAGCGTAAACTCAATACAGAATTTTAGATTGAAAACGATTAAAACACTGTAAACCGTTTAATATATATGAAATATATGCGGGGAATATGCTACAAATTGAAATCAAATTTTGCGAAATAGGCAGGTAACCATAGTAACAATACACAACTACGGTAAAAGCTATGAAGTAAGAGGTAATGTATCTTTCCAACACATAGGAGGAGACTGGTGACTAAAGCGTAGAGTCGTAGAGCTCTACAAAAATTTCTACGCCAAATCGAGCTTCAGAAAACGG